TCTATACACTGATAATGAACACACTGCACTGTATAATAATACTGAGTATCTATACACTGATAATGAACACATTGCACTGTATAATAATACTAAGTATCTATACACTGATAATGAACACACTACGCTGTATAATAATACTGAGTATCTATACACTGATAATGAACACACTGCGCTGTATAATACAGTAATATTGAGTATCTATACAATCATAATAAATGTGCTGCACTGTATAATATTGCATGTTTACATGAACTAATTAGGTTAACAAATTATTATAGTGTATTATTATACCTTGAGACACTGAACATTGCTCTCTGAGTGCTATTTGCTGAGCTACATACTGTATACGTTAAGCTGTATTTAATAAACAATATTCAATGGTGATATTTCATTACAGCATACACTGTAAAGAAATACAGGAGATTATTGGATCAGAACATTTAGAAAGGATCTGCAGGCGTAAAACAATCCCTAGCCTTACTTTGTATACAGAACATTGCAGTCCCCCTCATAACTGTACACAGTAACAATGCCCTCTCTGTTGGCATACACTGGCACAGTGATGTGAAGGTTGCTATGGTATTCTGTGCCAGGCTGAATTGGCTCATTGTTACTTGGGGGATGGAGGAGTTGAGGCTTAAACACAAGGAAAAATGGTGCAATAATTTGGAAGGGGTTAAGGAAGAACATTTTACATATTCCTTAACATAAAATACCCATAACATACCTACATGTAATGTATTTTTTAGCTTGACATTAAGATAGATATGAAATAGAATATAAATAAATGGTTAGCAGAAATAAAACACGAGTTAACCCCTTCACTACTTAATTCTTCTCATTAAATAAATATGCCGGACATCCGATTAAACATAGGCACAACGGGTACATATAAAACACATAAACAGTAGAAAACAACAAAATCATGTGTCGATTGACGTTCAGGAGTGCACAAAGTATCAGTTTAATGTAAATGCACACAATATTAGTTTGCATGTATTTATTCATCCTGTATGTAAATGTTGGGGCAATTTGGGGGAAATATACGTAATCCCTTTGTGTGTTTTGTCCATTATCGTCCTACATCTCAGACATGGTCTGAGCAGAAATATTAAAAGAAAATGTTTAACAAACTATGTATGGCAAAAAAGTATATAAAAAAACAAAACTTTGGTATAGGTAATGGTAAGGAACCTGATGGAATTTCTGTGAATGCTGATTTTTTGAAAGATCACCAGAATGTAAAAGCAATGTCTGCATAATGATAGTATAATGACCACATACAGTAAGCACAGTTAAATCAAACATCAGTACTACAAAATGCATTGCAGTCAACACATGTGGGTTCAGTGTTCTCGTGGTCCTCTCTCCTTCCAGCCCTTTGGCTTGGTGCTAGAGTGCAGCAATAATGATTGATCTACAAATGTGTCTGTAGCATTTGAGCAGCGAGAGGTGGCTGTGATTTACAGTCCCTCCGCAGAGCCGTAGATGCGGAGAATGGGGCCCTGAAAGAGAAATTTGTTTCCCCTGCAATGATTATGAATAAATGTAGTTTTGCATTCCTTCCATTTATTATATTATTATTGTATGCAGTGATTATATCCCATTGTAGGTGCCCTTTTCTTCAAACTAAATCAATGCACTTTAGAAATCATGTTCTCAAGAAAGCTAAGAAATTGCTTCTGTAGAATTTATACCATGCTTAAGATACAAATTTTCTTTTAAATTTATATTGAACAAATTGTATTTTAGTCCACTTCAGAGAAGGCATGCATTGCAAATGAAGCAGAGAGACATTGAAATATTTCTTCCCTTTTCTGAATGTTATATGCCGGAGCAAAGGACAGAGCTGATAGTGATTGACAAGGAGCTAAAATGGACGTTAAAAAAATTGTGGATTTCTACATTTTATTTGAATTTCCTACTTCAGAAATATGTGTTTCTTCAATACAGGCATTAGTAAATATAATTTTTAAAACTCCCGGGATGTTAAAACTCCCGGGATGTCAAAACTTGAGCAAATTACATCTAAATCAGTTTAGATAAGGCAAGGGCAGGGCAAGTATTGCAAATGAAGCGGATAACGAAAAACATTGTTTACTTTCTCCTCTTCTCTATAAATTGTCTTGTTGCACAACAACAAGATTTACAAAAAATAAATGGCCATCACAGTCTCCTGACTTTAATATCATCGATCCACTTTGGGGAGATCTTAAACATGCGGTTCATGCAAGACGACCAAAGACTTTCCATGACCTGGAGGCATTTTGCCAAGACGAATGGGCAGCTAAACCACCTGCAAGAATTAGGGGCCTCATAGACAACTATTACAAAAGACTGCACGCTGTCATTGATGCTAAAGCAGGCAATACAAAGTATTAAGAACTAAGGGTATGTACACATTTGAACAGGGGTCATTTCATTTTTTTTAATTTGTTGCCATGTTTTGCTTTATGAGCACAACTGTGTTATGGTGCCTTACGGTGACTAAACTGTCCCTTTAAATATAGGGATAAGTAAATATATTTTTTTTAAATTCTGGAAAGTCCTTTTGCTCTCAAAGCCAGGGCAAAAAAAAAAAAATGAAGAGAGGAAATAAAAAGGGAAATTTATCAAAAAGTTGCCAACACTCTTCTGTATAATTTTCAGCTATTTTATGGCACAATTTATCAAAATCTATTAGACATTTTTACCTGTTGCTTTAATTGCACACTTACAGCCATTTCTGAATGCACTATATTTTTTTTTCCCACATGCAACAAATTTATGATTTTTTTGCCAATTTTGCTTCACACAGAAAAGTGTTCTGTTTCATTTCTCTTTTGCATAGAACCGTACATTTGGCAGTCTTCTGAAATCAAAATGTCTGCGAAAATGTAAGATTATACTAGCTTTAGTGTACTAATAATCTTAATTTTAATAATGAAAGGAGGCGAGTATTTTGCATAATCTCTCTTTACTAGTTCCACACAGTAGCAAAGAAACTCATAGAAAAAATAACCAATCACAAGAGAGTAGGATGTACATGAGGTATAATGACCTAATCACTTCCTCTTTCAGAAAGCGACATCAAGCAGGAGCAAACATATAACAAGCTATAACAATAACTCCTAAATCCAACATCCGAAGGAGCATGCTGGAGATGCCAGAGGGGTAGAGGGACGATGATGCATATATGGTGGGAGTGCAGCGAAATAACCCCATTCTGGGATCTGATCAAACAACGAATAACAGATATACTGGGCGATATGACGGAATGGTCGGCCGCTCTGGCCCTCCTACATATATCACAGATGCTGTTATCCTCCTATAAGAAATCAATCCTCAGACATCTTTTGAATGCGGACAAGTCACTCATCCCGTTATACTGGAAACAGACGGAGATACCCAACGAAGAAGATTGGATTCGCAGGGTTGAGGATATCCAAGGGGCTGAAGCACTACAGGCATCCCTACAGGACAGAGGGGATAAACATGCCGAACTGTGGTTCCCATGGTTTACCTTCATATCACAAAACGCGCGGAGCTAAGGCGGTGACCCAGCGACACACGCGGGGGCGCCGGGCCCTCCGAGGCAAGGCCAATGTGCACTTCCCAACATCATAACCCCCCACCCGCGTCTTCAGTAGAACGGGTACACCTCTGCTACCTCTTCATTCCCCCTCTCTCTTGGCCATATCTCTAAACTATCGCCACTGGATGGTTGGATGACTTGTTGGACCCCAACACACACACCCGAACGACGACTGAGGTCACCCTCCGTGCTCACGTAGCTAAGTGACACTGAGCTCGCTATATGTTAGGCAGAGTGCAGTACATTTCAAGGGGACACACTACTCTATTTTACCGTGCCCTAATGATGTATGCTTGGTGCAATTCTAGAAAATCATGCCCTCCCTCTTCTCCCCTCTCCCTCTTTTCTCCCCCTCTTGTTACCCCTTTCTACTTATACACCCAGTGACACACACTACTACGTCAGGAACCCTAGCACTCTTATGTGCAGTCCGCACGTACGGGGATAGGCTGAGACGTTACATGTTTGTGGAAAAGTGTGTGTAAAACTGTTTGCATAATCTCTTATGTTATAATGGGCGAGAGCCCTACAGCTAAATTTTGTGATAATCTCATGCTCCTAAATTAGGTCTCTCATCTCCCTATATTCCTGCAATGGTGTTTTCTACACACAAAAAAAAAATGAGGCCAATAATTATCTAGAGATGTTGTGCACTGCATTGTAATGCCACTGTTTTGTATGGAACTTTACTGTGCCTTTTTATTACATTGTGTATTCCCAAAACTTCTTCATTCTAATAAAAAGAAATTGATAAAAAAAAAAAAAAAACATCCGAAGGAGACAACTTCCAGAGAATTCCTCACAAACAACCAAAATGTCTCCAGGGATGAATCAAACTGAAAAGAGAATGTGTGACAGGTTTAGACATTAAGTCATGAACGTGGAAATCCAAGTAACACACATTATACATCATTCCATAGTAGCAATTTGTAAACTACAATCTGATAACTGAACTACAATCATATAAAACTCCAATGACAATTCCTTACCAATGGAAATAAAATCATCCATGTAAAAAACATGAAGAGCCCAACCTACTTTAGACCAGTGATACATATAAAGAAAGCGAACAGAAAGGGTGGGATAGCAAAGCAGGGTGGGAAAATACTTGCCTCCTGTCACTACTAAAATTAGGACACTAAAGCTAGTTTAATCTTAAATTTTACAACATGACAGGAGGCTTAATATTTTGCCATTTTAACGCTGAGAAAGAAATAGAAAACTAATGAAGAATCCGAATAGTGCAACGAGAGACATAGACCGTCGGGAAATAAGAAAAAAACATCCATGTCGAATGCCCAAACATCTGGTACATGACGGAAAACACCAGACCAAGCATAAAAGTCCGTCAGTAGATGCCCAGTCTTGTCTACAAACGTAGTATGATCTCCACTTCCCATAAGCCGGAGGTGGATGTCACTGGGTAGCTGGTACACAAGAGGATCCTTGCCCATCGGGAGTTCCCAGACCGGGGCAAGGGTTGTTGAACTATCCGAACTCACCTTATAATGGATTGAGATTCCGATCCAAACGCCAACCAGACCGGGAATGCCCAGATGTAGAGGCAGCATCGTCGCGTGCCTGGGGCCCAATAGTCTCCTAAGAGGTCCCTAGCAGCCTGTGATAGTCTGCCAATCTGCCAAGAACCCTAGAAAGAGTCCAGGCCACCAGGGTCAGCTTACCTTCCAGGAATTTAAGATGTGGGTTCCACTTCGGGTCCGTGAGAAGAGTTGGGTATGAATGTAGGGGGAGGAGATCCTCACGGCCAGTCCCCTAAGGTCCAGGAAACAAGGGTGACTCCGTCACAGCGGTATGGCCAAGGCAGTGTTACTCGCTGAACACAGAGGTGATGGAGAATCGAGGTACTCATTGCGAAGGAGGGAATAGCCTATGCCCTCCTGGGAGGCCCAGCTGTGCACTCAGGATCCGGCAGCAAATTGAAGAACACTGAATTCTGGAGGTCCCTCTGAGAACCAATCTGTGTTGAGATGAGTCTTCCCCGGGAGTTAGTCCGCCCTCGAGGAGATCCTGCGAGGAAAGCAGAAATCGAAGATGCCTTTTATGATGTCTGATAGAAGATGGGAGCTGGTTCTGTCCAGGCGAATGATATACCTGACTGTCGACACTCTGTCCATCCGGGGTAGGATGCAACAAATGGAGAACTCCTTTACCAGTCTGCAGATAGTGAAGGACCCCACTAAGAATTCCATATATTCAATGTGAAGGGAGAATTCCTGAGTTGTGCACACGCTTTCCGTGGGTGTGCTCTCGCAAGTTGTCACCATAGCCTCACAAGCTTGTATCAGACTCCAGAACAAAGTCCGGTAGGTTCGAATGAGGAAACCTTACCAGGAAGTGCAGCATGTCCCGGTAACGTAGCGGGTCTGGGAAGATGGCCTGGATGGAGGAGGGCAGTAGCCCACAATCGTTGTCAAGAGAACGTTGTCAAGAGGGGTGGAAAAGGACTGACAGATTGTATCTTCATATCCAGTTTCACAAGCCGGTAGGCTACGTGAAATTGGTTCCTTATTAAGTGTGAATGCCTTCCCCCTAGAAGCAATAGTATCTCATGTGGGCGTTTACCCAGGGACGCTTACCTGAGGAAAACGGGATCTAGCGCATCTGTGTGTTCTGTGTTCTCTGTCCGATCATCTGGAGCACCAGAAGGTTGTCTCTAACCCACTTTGGGTAAAGAGTTTGCGATAGCGAGGTAAAGGGGTCAGATGGCCCGAAGTGGTTGGTGACATGGCCCCGCTGTCGACCAGTCCTGTAGAACACCCCCTATGGAGGTTACCACGTAACAACTTCCTTATGGAGGTTTGGGTCTTGATGAGGGAAGTGGGAACATAAACGTGTGTAATAAGTTCCCTCAGGAAAGAGCGTGCCTTGTGAAACAGAAACATCTTTGAGCCCATTCACGAATATTGTGAGCCCATTCCTGGATGGTGCTGGCAATGTCAGGTATTTTACCCTTGAGAAGGGGTCAATAGAGTCCAGCAATTTGTCTCTGAAACCTCTCCTGACTCCCTTGTGGGGTTGGGGCCACCCAGAGCTCACCTAGTAAACAGAGGCTGCAACAGCATGCCTCCACTCAGCTGCACAGTGCAGCAAACATATAGTAGGGGGCTCACTCAAGGTGCACAGGGTATGAACCCTTAAGTGCTGGTCACGGCCCTGACAGACAGCACTAATCTGTGCTCAAACAGTTAATTCAAGGTTATGGGAGATATTCCTTTAAGCAGTATCTCCTGGAAGTCCTGTCTCAACACCCAGAGAAGTGAGAGCAAGGAGTGTAGAGGGCAGAATCCAAGAATAAGGTAGAAACACAATAAATAACATAGAAAAATCACAGCTGTACATAGTACAGAAGCACAGCAAGAACAAACAGTATATTAAAAAATAATACAGAAACAACCTCACAAAGGCAATAGAAACATAAAGTAATGGAGAAGAGTAATACCTTGACCTGTCTGCTAGATGGAGCAGCAAAGAAATGGGAAATGATGAGGTCACTGTGCCTTATGTACATTCTACTCTCGTGTGATTGATTCTTTTTTTCTATGTGTTTATTTGCTACTGTGGAGCTAGTAAAGAGAGATTATGCAAAATACGAAACCTCCTGTCATGTTGTAAAATTTAATTTACTATAGAGAAAACTATCATTATTTTGATCACTTTAATAAAAACTATCAAAATAATGATGGAATTTATACATCACATTTCAGAACACTTTGATAAATATCCACGAATGATTCATGTCTCCGCTTCTCTATATGCTTTTGTTATGCTGACTGCTCTTTGCAAAGGACAGAGTTTATAACAATGATTGACAGGGAGCTAAGATAGAATCATCAAGTCGCAAGATAAAGGTGTTGATTTCTACACTTCATTGAATTTTTCACATCGTACAAACATATTTGTTAAATATATAGATATACTGTAATATTTAAAACTCTGAAAATGATAGTTCTGTTTAACCCATTCACTACTAGGCACTTTTTGATTGAAAAATATTAGCATAATGTTTATTTGAAGCTAACGATGCATAGGTAGCATACAAATATATAACATTACAATTTTGTTTATAGATTGCTTTGCCCACATACTTAAAAATGAAACACATTTGCACAATTTTTATTTTACAATTTATTCATCCGTTATAAAAATATTTGTAAACTGAAGATCTTTAGATAGTGTACAGTGTTCTTTATCTTGCGATATTTAACACAGAGTCAGTATGTCAGGATAAAATAAAATGCAATTTATCCCACATACTCTAGATCTGACAAAAATAAATACATAAACATGGTCATATGCCTTGCTTATAGATATTTAAGGATCATGAATGCTTTACTTGGAGTATGACTTAATTAAAAGTGTAACAGAATGTAGAAGAGAATATCTATGTTTGAGCATAATGTCAATATGCAGTAAATTTAGTTAAATCATATATTTCTAATAAAAAGGTATTTAAAACGGCTATAGCAATTTTTTATCAACCTCTGGAATGTTATATAATGCTGACAGTGAAATAGTAGAGTCCACTCATTATTCCTCTCCCCCTGACTGCAGGAATGATATGACCCATTGAAACTATCTTTATTGTTTGAAAGCAGGGGGTGAGCTAATATTTCGAGCAAATTTACAGATGTTGTATCAGTGACTAGAAAATACATCCGTTTCCTGGAAGAGAAATGTATTCCTCTACAGTCTGGTAATCATAACTAGAGTATAAGAATATAAGAACAATATTAATAAGAATCATGTGCAAATAAAGAGTGTTTTTTTTTTCTTGTAATGCTCTAATTTAGACAATATGTCCCTTCTTCTACTTGCAGCTCCTCCAATGGCCGTGGGAGGGCATGAGAAACAAAAACAGTTGGTTTTCAGTTTTACCTCCAATACTAGATCCTTTCTGGTAAATTCAATTTTAGGTCTATGTATCTATAAGATAAATGTGGCACCTGCTTCATTGTAAACACTGGCTGTAAATCCTTGTTTTTCCCCTCTATTTTGCAGCTGCGGCTACTGAATTCTGCCGCTAAATAGCTATTGACACAGTTGGGGAATAAATCCTTCAGCTCCAGAATTGTAATCCTCTGAACGCCTAATAATCCCACATTTGCAGATCATTGTAAATCTATAAACCTATCTCTACTCACTATCTTTACACATAAAACCTGCCGAGTATGTTAGACCGCTAAATCACGTTTGCAGAGAAAGCCTGTCCTACTATTGATCAGTGTGTAGAGGTCACTGCAATCCACCATTTAAATTAGGCACAACCATGCCTCCTCATTAGACCTATTGTTGAGAGACTGCATCCTCTTTGAAATCCAAATTCCTTTCTTACCTCGCCATGAGGTGAGAATAACTATTGAACAGTGTTGCCTTCCAGGATGTCATCTGCGCAGTCAAAGCAGAAATTAGGACATGCAGTAATAAAGGCTACGCTGTACTAATTATAAGTTGGGGTTATTATGAGGATTCATTATTCTTAACCACATTATTGTTGAACTGCTCCCAAAAAGCAACTTAGAGGAAATAATATTAGAGAGAATTATATCTCAATAAATACACATTGTATTAAAGGAACACTAAAACTGACTGTAGTGATTACGGTGCCAAGAGTGCCCTTGGAATCCCATTGTAAGGATTCAAACTGGTTTCAAATGGTTTGACTTTAAAATCGAGGTGTGCTAAGTTTTTTTTTTTTTCTTCCTGAAACAGTTTTTAAGTGAGTGACAAAATAAGAAGACAATTGCACACAGCACGGCATTACGAAGACAAGATGATAACACAGTTGAGAAATGTGATGACAATGTTATCCTCTTAATAATTTTGCAGTTGTGTAATACCACAGACAATGAGGAAATGAAACATTATAGATAAACAAACAGAGGTGGAGGTCAAGAGGGAGATGCAGCAATAATGGGAGAGGTAGAACATCCCCAAAAAGTTTAAGTTGGTATAAAGTGGGTGTTGTTGACTAAGAGTGTAAGCCAGCTGGTTTGGTGTTCTCATGGTAAGGGTGGCTTACCCTATTTGTATCGAAAGATGCGGAATGAGTTTTTAGGTCATTTCAGAAACACTTCTTAATAATTTGATTTGGTTCATGTGAAAATGTTATGAAAGAACAAGAATTCAGGCAATATTTTGAGTACAATGTGGATTGCAAGTCCTTCCAAATATGCTGTAAATGAGGTCACTTCAATAGGCAGATATATAAAGCGATCTTTTTATTGGCATTTATTGTTCCTAGTACCCATCAGAAATTGGTTACAAATAAGCATAGTAAAAACATTCTAATGAAAAAATTACTGTAAACACTTGTACAGGACATATGAGATGTCTGTCATCTAGCCCCAACCCATTTCATGTAAACAATGTGAAGTGGCCTTAGTCTATCCTAAAAAACACATTTGTAATGGGAACATGGTATGACTAGTATGCGACTTGGGATGCAGAATCATTATGACAACAATCCCTACTCTTCCGGTATTGGGGACCACCTCTGCAATTCTGACACACGTTGGAACACAGACAACTGCATCAAAAGGAACTGCTTCCAATTCTTTGTTGTATACTGGGACTAGCCACCAAACAAAGCTCCATTTAACTTATGGTGAGACATTCCAAACAATGTGTTAAACAAAAATGTATAGGTAAACACAAAGGCCACACTATAATACCATAAAATCTAGCTGACACATGGAGGGTGCATCAGGGGAACCTAGACACTCTATAGCCCAGGGTATTCTGCCTACATTTCCCAGGGTATGCAAATAGCATAGATGATGTACTTAATATTTAAACTAGGCCTCAACTAATAGGTGGCGCTGCATCAAACAAAGTCCATGGTCTTTGGAATTCAGCGCCCTCACCAGAACCGTCTCTCTCATGTAAGGTGCTGCCTACTTGGAAAGAAATTGTGGTCACAACATATTCCAGTGGGTTTCCTAAATTGCCAGATGCAGTTTAATCCTTTGGGTTAGGCGTTCTCAGGTTACACCATTTATAAACAATATAAGGTGACTAACCCCTAACCCCTATTTATTTATTGTAATGGATCACCTGTACTCCGACGTGGACTGCATCTAACCACATTACCCTTTACGAAAAATATACGCACTTTAAAGTTTTTCCTCCTTCCCCTAACAGAATCTGCTTGCTAATGCACCAATGGGGAAGCTGCCCCTTGGCAATATTAACAAATAAATATATACATAAAAAAGCACATTTAAAGTGCCATAACAGGTGCTCCACAGAGACCTGCGCCTGTACTCTGCCTACTGCCAAATCTGACCCTGGGGATTTTGCAAATTGGATTTCAATTCACCACAATTCACTGTTTAGACCCTAATGAGGGAGCGAGAGAAACACAGCCTGTAATTAGTGCAAAACTCTAACCAACGGGTAAGACATCTCGTTCACTCAGGGAGGATTAACAATTGGGCAAAATCCACCTCTTTCCAAGGGGCTTTATCTTCAAATGGCTAGTAATGCACATATTTTGACTAGTAAGTTTGTACTTGGACTAGCAAACAGTGATGCTATTTAAATATCTTCATACACAAAGAAATGAAAGCAGAGCGCGCAAAATCAAACTGTCTTCCTGTCTGGCATTTAGAACCCTGGTGTACGGTCACATTTGGCAAAGCATTTAAACAGGAACAACGGGGAGGTGTACAATTCTACCCCAGGCCTGTCTGCACATCTTCATAAGAACGCCTTTGTCTCAATCTTCAGGACAGAAAATAAAAAGGAGTTTTTTTTTCTTAAACCGCAACAATAGATACCTTTCACCCCCCCCACCCCCAACACCAATCCCACCCTGTATCCGGGACACAAAAAGAATCCATTCTTATTTTCATAACTATAATAATATTAAGAGTGCAAATGCATCGTGGAGAGAATAACAGTTTGCTGCCTGAGGCCAAACATCCCGTTCAAAGGCACCACTGTTTAATTTCTTAATTAGTTTAATTAAACAGAAAAAAAGGTATTTAACTCTTGCAGTACAGTACATCGTGATCTTTTAGCATGTACACACATGCCAGCGAGTTTATTACGAGTATATACACCACAGGTTTTTAATTGGTGCATAAACACTTTGGAATGTTGCTATTAATGTCGGAGGAATGAGTGCGGTTGTTGTACAACAGTTCGTTCATGTGCAATTTGATCCAGTGTCTGTGGCCGTAAGCTGAGAAAGACTGTCAGTATTGCAGGAACCTTGGTCCATCCTTTTAGTTTGTTGTGCGAAAAAAAAAGAGATATTTAGATCTGTTGTTTTGAGCAAGGGGTCATCTAGGCCCAGAAATAGGCCAAGCCCACCTCCCCAAGATTATCCAGGAAAAGGAATATTTTAGAATTGATTTCACATAATGAAACGCGTCGTGTTAGGCTGCCCACAACCGTGAACGTGCTATAAAAAAAGTGCAACCCAGCCAATCCACGTTCATAACCTTTGGTCGCTTCTTCAATGTCATAACTTGAACTGAGAATGGCAAAGATCCGGGAACTGAATCACAAGAGTGTTTCAGCTTTTTTATGCAGGTAATTCTGAAAATGAATCTTGTAATATATAAATTTCACCATCGAAACATAGGGAACTGTGTATCCAATCTCTTTATACTATCAAAGGGTTCATGGCAGCAGGACCTTCTCAGTTAGGAGCTGGCCAAGGCTTTATCTCGTGTAGTCTATTGAAGGATTTACTTTATTCTGCATTTATCTGCATCCCACCTCCCTGAAAGGAACATTATAACCACCGAGACCCCTTTATGTCAATGAAGTGGTCTGGTTATAATAGTACTTTAGTTTTAACTCTTCAATGTAAAACAGTTCAGTTTTTTAGAAACAGCAATGTTTACATTGCAGGTTTAACTCCACCTCTAGCGGCTGTC